GACCAGGGAACCCACCGCTGCCGCGGCCCTCGACCACGCAGTACGCCACCTTCCCGCCGAGGCCCCGCCCACCCTCCGGATAGCCCCGCCCCCTCCCCTTCTCTTCCAATGAGGCCACCGCCCGAGTCCGCCCCACTAATCAGAGACGGAGCGGCGTCGACGTAGCCGACTGGTTGGCCAATCCAAAGTCGCAATCTTCCCGGAGGGGCGGGGCGCACCCTCCGGTCCTCGCCGCCGATTGGGAGCCAGAAGCAGGGTAGTGGGCGGGGCCCTCTCGCTGATTGGACAGGAGCCGCGGTGGGGCGGGCTCAGAGTCCCCACTGGTCGGTGTCCTGGGTCCGGGCTGCGAATTGGGCGGCGGCGCCGTAAGCCGAGCGTAGGCGGGGCGGGGCCCGGGCGGTGCCGCTTGGTTGGGGCCCGGCGCTGGCGGCTGCTGGACTGGACGGGTCCTGGCGGCGACATGTCGTCTGGCGTGGCCGCGCGCCGCGACGCCAAGAAACTGGTGCGCTCCCCCAGCGGCCTGCGCATGGTGCCCGAGCACCGCGCCTTTGGAAGCCCCTTCGGCCTGGAGGAGCCGCAGTGGGTCCCGGACAAGGAGGTGCGTGTCGACCCGGCCCGGTCCGGCCTCGGCCTCGGCCTGCGGTTCCTGCCCGGCGTCCCCGCCGCCCTGTCCCAGCCCTCCGTCCCTTGGGGCGTCTTCGAGTCCTCGGCGACCATTGGCTGCGGGCCGCGCCGGGGTCGGGGGCTCGAGACGGTCGGCCGGGGTGAGGGTAGGCCCCACACCTGCCCGGGTGGAAGGAGGGGCCGCGGCGAGCTGTCTGCGGGAGCGCGGCCGGTGGAGGTGCTATGTGTGCCGGGAGTTTGCTGTCTCCGCGACAGGAGCCAGGCGACTTGTAAGATGGAAACATTCGCGCATTCCATGTTCGTGTGTGTCTGTGTCCGCGTGCGTTTGCGTGTGCTTCACGCATTCCATGTTCCCGTGTGTGCTTCATGGATTCCATGTTCGTGTGGGTGAGAGCACGTCATGCTTGTGTGTGTGTGTGTGTGTGTGTGTGTGTGTGTGTGTGTTTGAGATAGAGAACTAATGAGTTTATTAGGGTTCCATGACATTGAATTTCGGAGTAAATTAAGTATGTCCTAAAAGGCATCGTAGTACGGATGACTTTTGTAAATTAAAATAACTTATTTTACGTTTATTTGTGTGTGGCCAAGCATACGTGCACTGGAGTCAGACTACAGCTTGAGGGAGATGCTGATCTTTGTGTGGGTCCCAAGGGATTGAAGTCAGCTTTCAGGCTCAACAGCATGTGCCTTTTTAAATGTAATTGAATACAGTTTTTTTTTTTTTTTTTTTTTTTTTTTGAGACAAGGTCTCACTAATTATCCTTGACTGGCCTGGAATCCACTGAACTGGTTGGCCTTGAACTCAAGGAGATGATGCGCAGGAGAGGACTCTGCCTTCCTAGAGTGCTGGGATTAAAGGTGTGCGCCACCACGCCCCACCCCTCCTAAATTCCTCACCTTACAATGCTGTTTGCAGTTCTGGTCAGCTGCTCTTCTCCTCCTCTGGGATCTCAGCCGTTTCAGGAGTGAAATAACGAGTTCTCAATACAGTGGGCTTTGGCCCCTTGAGAGGCTACCTGAGCACCCAGAAGCTACAGCTGGGTGCCTTGCCTTGCATCTCCCTATTTGTCCAGCTCTGAAGGTAGATGAGAGTCCCTAAAGAGAAGGTGTGTGTCAGTCTCACGTCTCAGAGCCCCTCGGTGTATGTCAGTACTCGGAGCCCCCAAAGAGAAAAGCGGCTCAGCCACTTGTGGACGTGCTGGGTGTGTCGCTGAACCGTCCTGGTCCCCCTCAGACCTCTGCCTGGGGCTGGGCCTTTCCTTCCTCCACTTCACCCTGGCACTTAGTTTCTGAACGCAGATTGTTCTTTTCTTTCATGTCTGTAAAGAAAGTTGAACATAACACAGAGTACTCTAATACCCCTGAACTACGGCTTAGAAATGAGTAAGGTGGGGGCCCAGTGTGATGATGCATGCCTGTCACTCAGCCCTTGCAAGGCTGACGAAGGATAATAGAGTTCTTGGCCAGCCTGAGCTACATAGGTACCTCAAGAAAAAGAAAAACACCTCACGGTAAAGTGCTTGCCAAGCATGCAGGAGGCCGGGGCTCCATTCCAGCCTCACAGAATCCAGCCTCCTGCCCCCTTTAAAGGCAGTGTGGCCAGACATGAATGAGTTTAGATTAACAACCTGGAGAGACATTAGGACTGCTTCCAGGAGAACCCAATAAAACACAGATTAAAATTGGGTCCATTGTGGGGCTATCACTAGGCCAGGGGCACTAGACCAGCTCTCTCAACACTGTCCTCTCTTGCTTCCCGAGGAGACTCTTTTTTTTTTTTTTTTTTGGGTCTTTTTGAGACAGGGTCTCCCAGTAGCCCCAGCTGGCCTGGATTCACTATGGAGACCAGCCTGGCCTCTCGAACTCAGAGATCTGCCTGCCTCTGCCTCCCGAGTGCTGTGATTAAAGGCGTGCACCACACCCAGCATTAAGTTAGATTTTTTTTTTTTGGTCTTTTTGAGACAGGGTCTCCGTGCAACCTCAGCTGGCCTGGAACTCACTGTGTAGACCAGGCTGGCCTTGAACTCACAGAGATCAGCCTGCCTCTGCCTCCGAAGTGCTGGGACTACAGGTGAGCACCACCATGCCCGGCTGAGTTAGATTTAAAAAAAAAAAATGTATAATTTTTATTTTATATGTATGACTGTGCTGCCTGCATGTGTGTAAGTGCACCCATGTCATGCAGTGTCTTCGGAGGTCAGAAGATGGCGATGGATCCCCTGGGACTGGAGTTAAGGACAGTTATTAGCTGCCATGTGGTTGCTGAAAACTGAACCCAGGTCCTCTGCAAGAGTAGTCAGTGCTCTTAATCGCTAAGCCGTCTCTCCAGCCCTGTCCCCCAAAACTCTTAATGTATTTATGGTGCATCCTGGTAAGGAAGGCCTGGATAGCCTGGCAGAGACACTGCATGTCCATGAGGAGTGGAGAGGAGAGGCTGTCTCTGACAGGAAGACTGTGCTAAGGAGACGGTGAGAGTTCTGCAGGTGGATTCTGTTCCAGGCAGAAGGGGCTTTTCTTTGTAGGAGTAACCAGTACTGGAAGAGATGGTGTGGCGTTTTGAATGAGAATGTCCCCCATAGGCTGCAGGTATTTGAACACTTGGTCAGTTGGTGGCGCTGTTCCAGGTCTTGGACCCTTTAGGACACTCAGCCATGCTGGAGGAAACATGCATTGGGGTTGGGCTTTGAGAGTTCTTTGCCTTATCTGTTCTGTGCTCTCTGCTCCCCATTCTTGCTTGAAGATGTGAGCTTTCAGCCTTGTGCTCCGGCCACCTCTGCCACCATGCCTCCCTTCCATGGTGGACTCTCACCCCCTGGAACCATCAACCAAATAAACTCTTCCTTCTGTAAGTTGCCTTGGTCATGGTATTTATTACAGCAACAGAAAAGTGATTAATACAGGGGCATGGGCTAGAGCAGGTGGCTGGCTCCCACAGATGGTGGGATGGGGTAGTGGGCAGCCCCAGGGCTTGGGAGGAGAGCAGCTTCTCTATAGTCCAGTCAGGAATCAGGCCTTTGCTCCACTTGCTTCCTGAGGACCCAATTCAGAGACTGCTTAATCAGGCAAAGCATGGGATTTGGAATGCCTGCCAAACCTGGCCTGGTGCTGAACCCTGGGAGCCTGTGCTTGTGATCTTAGCTGGTCATGAGGGTGGGGGAAGTTGGGGATGTTCTTGGCAGGAGAGGGAAGAGCTGGGGTTTCACAATTACTTTACAGGATCACAGTGTAAAGTTCACCTCTTGGAGTCCCGAAGCCTGTAGGGGCCTCCTGGGTGTTCTGGAAGCCACTGTGTGAGAGGCCTGGGGCAGAGCTTCCAGTCTTGTGACTGGTGAGAGCTGTTTATGATGTTAGGGAAACAGGGAAATAGTTTCCTGGTCTGTTCCTCCCAGGCTATGTTTGAGCTGACAACTCTAGGTGAGACAGAAATGAAGTCTGCACTGGCTCTCCACACTGCTCACCTGCACCCCGCTCACACCCCCTCTCACCTACACCCCCTCTCACCTGCACCCTATTCACCTACACCCCCTCTCACCTACACCCCCTCTCCCCTGCACCCTATTCACCTATCCCCCCTCTCACCTGCACCCCGCTCACACCCCGTCTCCCCTACACCCCCTCTCTCCTGCACCCTATTCACCTATCCCCCCTCTCACCTGCACCCCGCTCACACCCCGTCTCCCCTACACCCCCTCTCTCCTGCACCCTATTCACCTATCCCCCCTCTCACCTGCACCCCGCTCACACCCCGTCTCCCCTACACCCCCTCTCTCCTGCACCCTATTCACCTATCCCCCCTCTCACCTGCACCCCGCTCACACCCCGTCTCCCCTACACCCCCTCTCTCCTGCACCCTATTCACCTATCCCCCCTCTCACCTGCACCCTGCTCACACCCCCGCTCTCCTACACCCCCTCTCACCTGCACCCTATTCACCTATACCCCCTCTCACCTGCACCCCGCTCACACCCCCCTGCACCCTATTCACCTATCCCCCCTCTCACCTGCACCCCGCTCACACCCCGTCTCCCCTACACCCCCTCTCTCCTGCACCCTATTCACCTATCCCCCCTCTCACCTGCACCCTGCTCACACCCCCGCTCTCCTACACCCCCTCTCACCTGCACCCTATTCACCTATACCCCCTCTCACCTGCACCCCGCTCACACCCCCTCACCTACACCCCCTCTCACCTACATCCCCTTTCACCTACACTCCCTCTCACCTACACCCCATTCACCTACACCTCCTCTCACACCCCCTCACCTACACCCTCTCTCACCTATACCCCGCTCACCTATACCCCTGCTCACCTACACCCTCTCACCTACACCACCT